CACAGACCCGTGCGCACACACACACACACACACACACACACAGAGTCCTGTGGGCACACACACACACACACACAGAGTCCTGTGGGCGCGCGCACACACACACACACACACACACACACACACCCATCTGGAGCTGCTAGAACTCTCCCGTCCATTGCACTACTGTGCTGCAGAATCCAGAAGCCCTAGTGCACAACTGAGTTGGAAGTGGGTGCAGAGTATGTGGCATTAATCACATGCAGCATCCAAGACTTCTAAAGTGGAACCTGGGTTAAAGAGGAGCTCCCCGCTGTCACAGAATCACAGAACCCTGGGGTTTGGAGGGACCGCAAGGGACAGGCTTTGAGGTGTTTAAACCAGCCAAGCCCCCATGCCACCTGATGGCAGCTCTAAGGGGTGCCGCGCGGCCCCAGGCATGCGGTGCACCATACAGCTGCCATCAGGCACCCCCCATAGGTTGGAGCCCTGGGCAGTTGCTCGGCTAGCCCCTCCCCCCTTAATCTGGCCCTGGTGAGGAGTAGGCACTAGGAGCAAGAATTCGGACTGACCTGACTTAGAGGCCCACGGTGCTGCCATACGCTCCCCAGTGCATTTGATTAGACATCATGAGTAACTTCTGATTCTATTTCCACCCCCCTCTCCAAGGCCTCAGGAAACCCCTCTCCTCCCCAGAAATCTGACATTTCTTAATCCGAGCTCATTTTCTAGGTCAGTGAGCTCATTTCTCAGCACTTTGCGGTCTTTTCGCATTGGCATTTCTACTGCCAGCTTTCTCTGCCTCTCCCAGTCACTTCTGTCCAGCTCTTCTACATCACAGACAATTGTAGCCAGACTCACACGTGCATACAGAGTTCACGGCGGCTTCACCATGCGAATCTTCACAGACGGCTAATGTGGAACCTGAGAAAGGAGGATGAAAGAGCTCATGCTGTCATAGGATCATAGGCTCAGCAGGGTCTGCAATGATTCTTGGTGCTATATAGGCTCACCGAAACCGAGTTCTCAGGATCATAGGCTCAGCAGGGTCTGCAATGATCCTTGGTGCTGTATTGGCTCACCGAAACCGAGTTCTGGTATTGTACCTGCTAGCAGGGTGCAATTGCTAATGGGTGTCTCTCCTGATCTCGGAAATCTAGGGGAGAAAAATGGATATTTGGCAGGCAGACACAAAAGGGCGAGGGTTGACCCTGGGCTGGGCTGAGTCCCCAGCCGTGGCTCTGCAGGCTTGTGTGTGAATGTGGACCTTGGCTACTTCTCCTCACCTTAATAACAAGTCTGAGGTGTCCCTGCTGCTGTGTAACTCTTCATTGGGAGCAGATCTCACCTGCGGGGCTAGGTTTGGAACAGAGCTAACTTCATTGTGGGTCACAGCTGACGCAATGGAATGAGATGTTGGGGAGTGTAGGCATGGTCACAGCTGGGAAAGGGGTACGTGTGCCCCAAAAGGTCTAAGCCACAGCAAAAGCATAGCCAGCTCTGTCCCATGGCAACTCTAAAAGCCCCGACTGGAGGAGGACTGAGAGTCCCTTGGCATTTTGGTCAGTGAATTCAACATTAATTTTGCCTTAATGGACCCTGTCCATAGCACTGGAAAGCTGGCAAAAATGTGTGTTCTGCTGACCAGCCTGAGAGACAGGAAAGATGTCACATTTCATCGACCCTGGGCCTGCCAGGGAAACAGGACCTGCAAAATCCAGTCTCGCTATCTATTCTCTATTCAATTCTTGCTACATTTGGAAAGCAGAAGCGCCATTTCCCGGGGCAAGCAGGGACTCAAACAGCCTCTTGCTGACCCCTGCTCGTGAAATGTAGCAATTGTCAATTCCCTGCTGCACCCTGTCCCCTCCCCCCAAAGATGATGCTGGCGGGGAGGGGGGGTGTGAGCTGACTGCTGGAAGATAATTGTGAATTAAAATTTAATTGAGTATTTTAATGATGTGGTAATGTTGTGTACATTACATAAAAGCTATTTATTGTTTTGGAAGATATTTAGTAATCACAACACTACTTCCACTCCATTATACTATTATGATATTTAAAAAACAACCAAATTTTATTTTTATTAATATGTGCAGAAATAATCAAATACCTTTTTAGCAAGTCAGAAATAAGCTCAGTTTAGTATTGGCTCAAAACCTGGAAACATTTTTGTTAAATGTTTGAGGATGTGGAATAAGCATTTGCAAAAGAGTGTGTGTGTGTGTGTGTGTGTGTGTGTGTGTGTGTGTGTGTGTGAGAGAGAGAGAGACTATTCCAGTCACTAGTCGACTATCCAATAAGCATATGCTAATCGGATAGTCGACTAGTCGCTTCCATCCCCAGTTTAACTCGCAGAACATGGCTGCCTCACTGCCGTTTAGCATCAGTGCACAGGGAGTAAATTCTGTGGCTTTCCACTGACAGCCTGTTGCTATGGAGAGCCTGGCACAGGAATGAGAAAGAACTAAAACTGCACCGAGGCACACGCCTGAGCAGCCCGCAGCTTCTGCTGGTATTCGCCGCCTCTCCTGCCCCTTCCTCTCCCCAGGCTGGAAATAGATCCAAACCCGAACGAAGCCGCGACAATATTCTGCTTTTCCTCCTGCTGCCTGTGGGCTTTGCTACCTTTTCCATTCAACTCCAGTGGCAGGTTACTGCTCACTCATTTCCATATGGGCAATTGCCTGGTATGTCAAGACCCAGGCAGCAGCAGCGCCCTGTTTTCATGGGGAGGGGAGCGCAGGAGAAGCAATGCTCCTGTCTGGTTCCCCCTGCCCACCTGCTCCCGATACTGCTCAGTACAAATACCCCATGACCTCTGGCCTGGAGAACACTCCTGGAGATAGCCCAGTTCACAGACAGCTGGAGCTTGAGAACGCTCCTCTCTTCTTTAGGGCTACCTGGAGGCTTGCAGCAGGCAGGAGGTGCTCACCAATTGTGCAATTCTTCCCAGACTATGTCAAATGCAAGCGTAACCACCACCAAGGCAGATTTGAACCTGGAACCTCAGGAGCTGACTCTAGGAGCCTCTACCCGCTGAGCTAAGAGACAGCTGGCTCCCAGCCCATGCTGTAGGGGGTCTCTTGATCTTAACTGTTGCAGTGGTCTAGGTGCCACTTGCCATACTCAGTAACCACACTAGGTGTGTGGGTTACATACTTCCCCTAGGGGAGGAAGCACGTCCCGAGCTTCCGAGACCCAGTTGAGATCCCGGATGAGCCCCCACTTGTAACCACCACCAAGGTGGATTTGAACCTGGGACCTCAGGAGTTGACTCTAGGAGCCTCCCAGCCCATGTTGTAGAGGTCTCTTGATCTTAACTGTTGCAGTGGTCTAGGTGCCACTTGCCATACTCAGTAACCACACTAGGTGTGTGGGTTACACAAGGATGGCACGGCTGCTTCATTAAACCCAGCATTTACACGCTCCGTGCTTTACGCATGCACTTAGAGCTGGATGAAGTCCAGAAAGCAAGAGTGGGGAGCCTAAGGTCCAGGAGCTGGATGTGTCCCCCAGCTTGCCTGGGCCCCCCTACGCTATGGTGCGCAAGGAGAACGTGGGGAGTGTCTTTCTCCGTTTCAGTCACGGGCAACATCAGTGAGGGTGAAGTTGGTGTTTTGGGCTTTATTTTTACTTCTCACTCATGTGCAGCCCCAGCCCAAAAAAGGTTCCCTGCCCCTGGCCTAGGGGGTCCCAGGCTAGTAGCTTTTGTGTGCTCCAGCCCCACGGGGGAGGGTGGCGGAAGGGCTGGTCACCAGCGTGGCTCCAAGTAAGCCAGGGGCCACATGCGGCCCCCCCAAACTTAGGTCCCCCAAACTTTATGGTCTTCCTCCAGCAAAGCGGAGTGCTTTTAGTGCCCTCTGACTGGAACGACAAGTTTCAGAGGGGGAGTCGTATTAGCCTATTGCAACAAAAATGAGGAGTCCTGAGGCACCTTAAAGACTAACACATTTATTAGGGCATAAGCTCTCGCGAGCTGCATCTCATTGCATCTGATGAAGCGAGCTGCAGCCCACGAGAGCTGATGCACTAATCAAATTGTGAGTCTTTAAGGTGCCATAGGATTCCTCATTGTTTTTACTCATTTGAATGGGAGCTGAGTGGTCTCCGCACCTGGCCAAACAGACCCAGATAGGAACCTGACACACCCCACATTGCTAACCTCATTGTGAAAAGAGCTTGAAATATCGTTTGTTTTCTTTCTTGTGTTCGAGGAGTCAATAAATCCTCAGCCACAGCATAAACATGCAGTCGTCCACCCTTGATTTCTAAAAATGTAGTATTTGTATTATGTTAAGAAATTATTTACAGTCTCCATAAACATCCTCCCAGCATAGTCCATCTGGCAGCTGAGAGGGGGACTTGGAATTCACTAATTTACACACACTGTAAACCACTTTGTAATAAATAAATAAGCTCTTAATATCTTGCCCGCAAAAGAGGAACAGTGTGCACAGTTCTATATTTAGGGCTGCTTTTGGAACTGCTGGGGGCTACAGTTCTGAAAGTTTTGAGGACGGTGGGTTTTTTGTCAAATAAATCTTTAGTTGGGAGTCTTTACAATTTCCAGTAGTTACACGTTTATACAAATAAACAACAGTTAACATTCCTAGTTCCTCTAGTGTTCCTTTCCGTGTCATTTCCCTATTCTGTAAACTTACATTTTTTACAAACAAAAATGTGATTGTATACAGCCATGCTGACCCCAACTCCCATAGGCTGTCAGCAGGACTGAGATCTTTCGAGTCACACCACCAACTTCAGCTACTTGATGGGTGTCTAGACTACAGGGTTTTTTTCGAAAAAACTTCCCCTGCATCAAGACTGCTGCCGCTTTCTTTCGAAAGTAAATCAAAAGAATGCAGCGGTTTTTCTGACCGTGGAAAACCTCGTGCTCTTTCAAAAAAAGGCGCTATGTAATGCAAACTGTGCTTTTTCGAAAGAGAGCATCCAGACTGCCTCGGTGCTCTCTTTCGAAAAAGCGGCTAGCTTTTTCTAAAGTACTGGTTGTAGTCTAGACGCTCTCTTTCAAAAGAGGCTTGCAATCTAGACGTAGTCGATGTGAGGAAGTAACTGGTGGCAGTAGAAGGTTCTTATCTTCCAGGTTTTTCTACCTCTTTCACCAGCAGCTATTTGCCGGAGAAAAAGAATATTGAGATGCAGAAACAAAGGGTTGTGTAAGGAGTGTGCTTTTCTGTCCCTCTGGACATCTGAAGTAGTAGGTTGTGCCCATGAAAACTCAGGATACCATCTACATCAGTGTTTCTTAAACTGTTTCTCACCGCACACAGGTGTGCCGCAAGGCAGTCAGAGGTGTGCCGCAGAGAACAACAGAGTTCAAAATGGCCACCCTTAAAGAGGCAGGCGACTTTTTTTTTTTTTTTTGCTCAATAACTCCCCCCCCAACCCCCCTTTTTTTTTAATTTGGTCAACAAAAAAATCTTTGGTGTTCCTCATTAAAAAAAATATTGTTTGGTGTTCCTCGGTCTTAAAAAGTTTAAGAAACAGTGATCTACGTATTTTGTTGATCTTTAATGTGCTACCAGACTATTTGTTGTTTTTTAAGTTTTTCCCTACTCCACCAGTGTGTCCCTGCCCCCTTCTGCTCCAACTGTGCGGATCTCCCCTCCAGTTCTTGACCATCCACCCCTTGCTCCATTCCTTTCCCTGTTCACCTCTTGCTCCTCCCCTTACCTCTCCCAAATTCCTGTCCCCTTCCTGCCCCTCCACTCCTGTGATCAGCTCCTGCCCCCTTCACCCCGCATCCCAAACTCCTGCCCTTGCTCCACACTTTTTTCTGATCCCCTTTACCCATCATCTGTTCCTGACGCTGTTACCCCTCCTATGGTTCCTCCTCCAAACTTTTCTCCACCATCCCAGACTCCTACCCTTCTTTCCCGGGATCTCCTGCTGCTGTTTCC